GTAATCCCTTAACTTATGACTTGTTCGAAAATATCGAACAATGTCGTTGTTCGGTGTCTGTTTCAAAACCAGAAAAAAACCGTAGTGCTTAATTAAAAGGTTTTAGGGGTTATTAATCTTATTTTATTATGCAGACAAAAGCAGAGTTGAAGTCGTAAAATCCAAAAATGAAAAATGTTCTCCTCAGTATTAGCACTCGTTAAAAAGAAACCAGAACCAGAGGGTTTATTACTAGTGAAGTATTTATTACTCAAAGGGAGTAATCATAATAATTTATTAACGGATCTGGAGAATTTAAATTTTGATTATTATAGGTAGGTAAGTACTTACGCGAGATATATCAATTCCTTGGTTACAACTTTTTCTTTTCATATAGCAGAGCAATAATAACATTATAAGTAAAGAAAATACCCTTTTATAAAATTCGAAAAAACAAGTATTCAATTTCAAAATCATTAAATTTGTTAAAATGTAGGTATATCGTTTTCTTTTTCTTTTCTGTAATAGTCCATTTGTTAGTTGTAGTTTTTTGAAATACGTATTACGGGCGGAATCGTATAAAACCATAGCAATGATTAAAAAACACCATCATCTCTCTTTAAAAAATACGACTTCGTAGAGGAAAATTTGTACAAATACCTGCAGTAATTTTTTCCTATAAATAATAAAGTAATATAAGTCTAATAAATGCAATTTAATACTATTGAGGGGTGCTACGCTTTGTCCAAAAGATTTTGAGAGTTTAACTAGTTTAGGACAGTTTTAAGAGAAACATCAGGTGATATTTTCAGGATGGTGTGGTTGAAAAAGTATATTATTATTAAATTATTATCTACTAATGAATGTCCAGGACAGAATAGTACCATTATTGAGGTTTTAACTGATGTTACTGTTGACCGCGAGGCGGAATCGTATCTGATAATTTATGTTGCATGATTAGGGGTCACCCATAAAGTACATCACACTTTAAGAGTGGGAGTGGTCGACGAAGTGAGACAAGGGGATGGGGGAGGAAAGGAGACGGCGAAGTGAAGGGGTCCTAAGTTTCGTGATTCATTTTGAAAATCTTATACATCTAAGTGTTAAAATGTCAAATTTGAACTATTAACGAAAAACTTAAAACTTGGTTTGTTAATTTCTTCAAATGTTTGATTTGATGTTGATTATCATCATCATCATCATCATAAGGTCATCAGTCCTTAGACTGGTTGGACACGTACCTCCACTCTTTCCCATCCGGAGCTAAACTTCGCATTTCCCTAAAACTAGAACAGCCCACATCCTTAACTATTTGCGAAGAGTAATCTAATCTAGGTCTACCTCTACCCCTCCTAACTCCTGTTTCTGTCTCTAATATGTCTCTGACCTGAGAAGGTGTCCTACCAACCTATCTCGCCTATTTTTTATTGACTTCCATAGAGTCCTCTGTTCTCATATTCTTTCCAATACCTCTTCATTTCTAACCTTTTCTACCCACGATATCCTCATCATCCGCCTATAACACCACATTTCAAACGCTTCTAACCTTTTCTTTTCCGCCGCTCCCACTGTCCATGTTTCACACCCGTACAACGCCGTGCTCCAAACATACACCTTTAACAACCTTTTTCGAATTTCTAAATTAACCGTTCGTGAGCATAGAAGAGACTTCTTTTTATTAAAAGCGACACGACCCTGCGCTATCCTCTGCTTTATATCCCTACTACTCCTTCCATCCTCACTTATCTGACTTCCTAAGTATCTAAAATCAGCCACTTCTTCTAATTTTTCGTCTCCTATCTTTATATTCGCTCTTTCCCTACTTTTTCTTCCCTTGCATGTTAGTATTTTGGTTTTACTTTTATTTATTTTCATACAGTACTGATCTTTCAGTATCGCTTCCATTTTTTTTAAAGCTATCTCTAGGTCCTCCTTGCTAGATGCTAATACTGCTATATCATCTGCAAATCTAAGCATACTAATCTTTTGCCCTTGCACGTCTATCCCTACAGTTGTACTGTCTTTAATGATGTTGATGGCGTCTTCGATGTATATGTTAAAAAGTAGCGGTGACAGTGTGCATCGCTGCCTGACTCCCTTCCTAATATTTACTTCTCTACATTGCATCCCCAGCTCTATAACTGCCTGTTGCTCTTTATACAAACTAAGTATCACTCTTCTATCTTTGTAATTCATCCCTACATTTTTAAGTATATTTAACATCTTGTCCCATTTAACATTGTCAAAAGCTTTCTTTAAATCTACAAATCCTATGTTGATTATATTAAAAAATAATTTAATTGGAAATAAAACTAATTTCGGAACTACTGTTTTAATTTTAATAATTTCTAGAGGTAAAATTGCAAAATATATCACGTTACAATAGGGAGGGGGGTCTCACAAATGTGACCAACTGGGAGGGGTCAAAAAATCACGAAATTAGTGTGACCCTTTACGTCTAAAAATGCTTTTAGAGAATTTGTTTAAAGTTATTGTCTCTCTTTTTCATTAATCTATTTGTTTATTACAGTCTCCCATTTGATTTATATAATGAAACGAGTAAGTGATAAAAATTAACGCTTATCTTGCTGCATACGATTACGATTAACAAGACAAAACTGATTTTGCTCATTAACAGCAAAAATATTGGTAGAATTTACCTTTGTAGTATATAATTGCAGCAACAGAACTCGTTTAGGACTGTGCTAATGGACGACATGGTTTTTAATCTCCGTATCTATGGCAGAGGATTTAAATCACTGATAAAAACAGCATACGTAACAACAAATGCATTATTAGATTCCTACCGAAAACGACACTTGAAATTGAAGTGAATTTTTTTTAAAATTACTGCCACACGTAGTTGTTGCATAAATAAACATAAAAGTAAAGTTGAAGTGAAATCATTAAAACCACTGGTTACTTTATACGAATGAATGAACCGTCGTTTCGGTTTCTGTACGACTCAAATGCGTATACCTAACGGACTTGTGTAGGATTCGTGTCATGTTTCTGCAGAAAATCTTGCACGAAACTATTCATGAAATTCTGAGTAAAACATGGAACACAATATCAGTGAATACTTCGACTAATTAACCAGATGTGTATTAGTTTATTGTAATCCCACATAGTCAATGAGAAACATGCATATAACCAAACATGTACGTGCTCTTATCAACCAATAACAATTAAGGATGAAAATTGTAACTAACCAATATTACCAGCTACATACTTGGGCTAATATCTAAACGTTGTTTCAGTCTGTGCTATTTTAATTTTGTAAACGGTTGAATTCGATATTGCACCCCTTAATAATTCCCATTAATTATTTATGATTCACGAATTCCACGGTTGCTTTGAAACAATAACTGACAACTCCAATCAAAATTAATTAGCGCAATGTTGCTATTATAACATTAATTAATCTATTGTTTTTATAAATAAATAAAAGTAAAACAAAAATATTGGTGTGCAAGGAAAAAAAGTAGGGGAAAAGTGAATATAATGGTAGGAGACGAAAAATTATAATTTCGAAAAACATTAACAATATATGGGTCCAAAATTTTAAAAAGTTTGCTAGAGGGCCATTTTCCATAAAGATTTAGCGGGGTCCTTTTTTATCTCGCAAATATTTAATTAAGATTCGATCGAGGTTGAGGGGATTTGTTTAAACCTTGAGCATATTTTTAATAACCCCACCACCAACGCCCCCCTAACCTTTATCATCATCATAAGGTCGTCAGTCCTAAGATTGGTCGGACACGTACCTCCACTCTTTCCTATCTTGAGCTAAACTTCGCATTTCCCTAAAACTAGAACAGCCCACATTCTTAACTATTTGCGAACAGTAATCTAATCTAGGCCTACCTCTACCCTTCCTAACTTCAGTTTCTGTCTCTAATATGTCTCTGACTAGACCTTCATGCCTAAGAAGGCGTCCTACCAACCTATCTCGCCTATTTTTTATTGACTTCCATAGAAGTTCTCCTATTCTTTCCAATACCTCTTCATTTCTAACCTTTTCTACCTACGTTATCCTCATCATCCGCCTATAACACCACATTTCGAACGCTTCTAACCTTTTCTTTTCCGCCCGTCCCACTGTCCATGTTTCGAACCCGTACAACGCCTCGCCCCAAACATACACCTTTAACAACCTTTTTCGAATTTCTAAATTAACCGTTCGCGAGCATAGAAGTGACTTCTTTTTATTAAAGGCGACACGACCCTGCGCTATCCTCTGTTTTGTATCCCTACTACTCCTTCCATCCTGACTTGTCTGACTTCCTAGGTATCTAAAATCAGCCACTTCTTCTAATTTTTCGTCTCCTATCTTTATATTCGCTTTTTCTCTACTTTTTCTTCCCTTGCATACCAGTATGTTAGTTTTACTTTTATTTATTTTCATACAGTACTGATCTTTCAGTATCGCTTCCATTTTTTTTAAAGCTATCTCTAGGTCCTCCTTGCTAGATGCTAATACTGCTATATCATCTGCAAATCTAAGCATACTAATCTTTTGCCCTTGCACGTCTATCCCTACAGTTGTACTGTCTTTAATGATGTTGATGGCGTCTTCGATGTATATGTTAAAAAGTAGCGGTGACAGTGTGCATCCCTGTCTGACTCCCTTCCTAATATTTACTTCTCTACGTTGCATCCCTAGCTCTATAACTGCCTGATGCTCTTTATACAAACTAAGTATCACTCTTCTGTCTTTGTAACTCATCCATTTTAAGTATATTTAACATCTTGTCCCATTTAACATTGTCAAAAGCTTTCTCTAAATCTACAAATCCTATGTACGCGCTCTTTCCTTTTTCTATCGTTTTCTCTATTGTTACCTGTAAAGCTAGAATGGCCTCCCGCGTTCCTCTCTTTCTTCCCCCTAACCTTACTGTAATTATTTGTGAGATATCGATAGGATGTCGTACAACATTACGGAAAATTTTTATAAAAAATGCTTATCCAATAGGATTGTTTATTGTTTGGTTACTTAGGATATTCTTTGTTTGTTTCAGAATTGATCCGCTACGAAACAGCATACGCCTGTGAGGGTAAAACGTTGAAAATTGAATGCCGATCAGGAGAATCGATAAAATTAATTCGCGCAAATTACGGTAGATTTTCAATAACTATTTGCAACGATCATGGAAACACCGATTGGAGTGTTAACTGCATGTCTCCAAAAACTCTCCGAGTCCTTCACAATCGGTAAGTGTTTTGAAAAACAAATATCTGCCAACTTTTCGATTATAGATCAATTTTTAATGAATATTATTACATTTTTTAATTGTATCCCGTGTTTTATAATTATGATAACGAATTGTATGAATGATATATGTGTAAAAGAAAGCATCTTGTGGTTATATAACATGCAAAATTGAAATTATTTACAGCCAAGATGCTACAAACTGACAATGAAATAGCTCTGGCTAAGCTGGAAGCTTTTCGCGTATAAATTATGCGCCTTGCATGAAAGTGGTGTGAGTTTTAGACACCTGGGAATAAAATTAAATTTTTAAAAAGCTGTTTTAGTCGCACAGACGAATGCCCTTCTTAAAATATAAAACTGATGAAAATGTCTCAATCCTCTTGCTCAAAATCTCGTTAAATATAAATAATGTACTTTATGAAAAATGTTATCATTAAAAATCAGAATGGGAAAGGGAAAGGTAATACGGTCGAACTTAATTGTGTAATTCGATTATTTTTTTGTTTTCTTGACATACATATATTGTTTTACATTTATTCCAAACTCTCTAATTCGAATTTCTATTGATTTTCTTCGGAAAAATCAGCCGCAGCGATAAACAATGGCTTGAATTTTCAAGCGGAATTATTACCACCATAACTTTTTACTGTGTATTATGCAAAACAGCACAAAAAAGTGGTTACGCTAGGATCATAAGCGATAAGGTAAGGGTGATTATAGGTGCGCTTAACAACAGTAGGTAAGTAGTCAGTATTAATAAATTGATTGATGTCGTAAATTACCTACATTCTTCTCGTTTTATGATCTATAATCGAAAGATTGTCCACTATAGTATGGTACCTTTTTGTATTTTGTGTCTGATTATTACCGTTTTGACTACAGAGTTCAATTTAAGCAAAGTTTATTTTACCGTCTGTAGCAATATGCGATCATTGAATAAGTGCTAACTTTATTACGTGAACTAAGCTCTTTTGAAGTCTGACCGTAATATGCGTTGTATTAGCATATATGTTGTTTAAACGTGTTCATTAGTAGTTGTTTTTTGCGTAAAACTGCACCGGTAAAAAAAAAAACGGTATGGCTTGTTAGTTAATTAGGTACAATTTTACGACATTTATTAACGAACTTGTCTTTATTTTTTATTCACATATAAGAACTGAAGTGTCGGCCGCGTCTAAGTTATTTCTTGGCGAGATAATATTTATGTTGTCTGTCATAATAAAGTTGCGATGGAAATTTCTTTGTTTTATTTCTTGCTCTTCGCGCAACATCTCAATCCCAAAGGTCTGTTAATCGTACACAAGTAAGTTACATAGTCTAAAAGTTGTTTTGCTTCGCAGATTTATGTTTATTGTCCATTCTACAATCGTTAACGTATTTTATCGGTACGTGTGGCTTGCCTGAAGCTTGACAAATCGGAAAATATCTTCACGAATCTTAACTGCTAAAAAACACTTCGTGTTAACAACAGATATTAAATTACCTACGTAAAAAACAAGTACCGAACGAAACCATGATATTTAATTCAAATGAATACCAACACCCCCCTCCCCCAATTATAAGCAATTGATGCTGTTTTACAATAATAAGAATAATGCTTGAGGGTTAAATAAGGTTTTTATTACTATTTATGATTTTTACATTTCAAATCTTGAACTGGACAGTCATTAATTAGGTCTGGAATAATGAAAAGTAGCGTTCTATTTTATCATCCTTCTTTTTACAAAAACTAAAAAAAATTGCTTGTAAGCGAAGCCGGAGACCGCAAAGATTTTCATTTTTTTTAAGCCATTCTGCTTATCTGGGAATATATAAAGTATGAGGGGTCGTTAGGACTGTCTACGAACTCATTAAAATCTGTGACAACTAAACGCGTTTTTCCCCTCATGAAATGTTGTAGCTGCCATTCTTTATTCTTTCTAACAGTATTATTTTCCTTAATATTGTCTCAGTCTCGACTCTCGACTTGTGAATAATACAAGCTAAAATTTAAACCAACCTTCTAGGATAAATTGCAGCGATCTTTTTTTTCAAAATTAAAATGTGCACCAATAAACTTAAATTTTTTAATCCGATAATTACAGCTTCGAACGATTATTATCGTAAAAAGTCAGATGTCATTAAAACCTTTCCCCAATTAACGCTGAAATTATTTTCACCTAAACGAATCAGATTGTACTATACAATTAAATAATGAATATTAGTGGAAAATTTGCTATGCAATTACCGTACTTATTACATTTCGTGAGACAATGTTATTTTAAGAAAATTAATAATTTGCACAAAACGTGCATAAAAGAGTCTTAACTGGCAAGATATAGACGAAATAAAAGCAACTATTCCTTGTAATTTGTAAAGATATGGACAGTTTGTTATTACATTTTGGAACTTTGTTTTGGTTAATTTGAAAATTGAAAAAGTTTATTAAGATCTCGGTGGATGCTGCGAACTTAAAAACGTTTGAGATGTGGTTTTGTAGGAGGATGATAAAAAATACTGCGGATATTAGAAAAGAGTAGGAAAATAGAGCACGCTATGGAGATCAGTAAAAAATAGGTGGGATGGGTTGGTATGACCACCTTCTCAGACATGAAAGACTAATTAGAGACTCATTAGAAGCAGAAACAGAAGTTAAGATGGGGAGATTCAGATCTAAATTAGATTGCTGTTCACAAATAGTTGTAATAGACGGAAAAAAAATAATAATACTGACCAAAATAGGTGGGATGGGTTGGTATGACCACCTTCTCAGATATGAAAGACTAATTAGAGACTCATTAGAAGCAGAAACAGAAGTTACGATGGGGAGATTTAGATCTAAATTAGATTGCTGTTCACAAATAGTTGTAAAAGACGGAAAAAAAAATAATACTGACCACCATGTATTTTTAGTTCGATTTTAGTAACGTGTCCATCACGTACCACGTGTGGTGAGATACGCTGTGGATTCAGTTTAGCAAGTAGATGTCTATCAATATGTAAATGAATGAATCGTATTGAATATATTGAATTCCACTAAATGTAGCATTGTACTATAGATGTCGTTTACCGCGCCGTTCGTAGGATTTCATAAAACGCTGCCTTAGGGCAGGTTTAGCAGTTTGTTGTCGAAGCTGTTTGCGGTTCTCTGAGAGATCTGCCGTGATGGAAATTGACCACTGGCAGAATAAGGCCTGATCCCTATGAACAATGAACATTCTTGTATGATTAACATAGTTTCCGCAGAATTTAAGGAAATGTGTTGATTAGATCATGATAGGAAAGGATGCGCGGTTGATTTTTCAACTAGTTTTGGGGCTGACGACCGTCTGATGATGATAATGTTTGTAGAAAATATTTTATAGTAATGAAATATCTGACGGTATAGCATATGATTTTAACCCAAATTAACGTTATTCTTAAAACCACATGGACGTGTAATTTATTCTGAATAAATCAAGATTAGCATTAAATCTGTATACATTTTTTATTTTTGCGAAAGTGGTTTTACCATTTATGGCCATTGCAAACCCTGTTGTTGGCTCTGCATTCAATTCAAAGTTTTAGGTTAAAACGAATCGATTTGAAAATACAAAGCAGTTTAACAGTTTCTTTCAAATATTTTGTTAATGACAACTTAAAAGCTCAAACATATAGAATTATTTGTATATATTGTGTGCATTTAAATAACGGAAAAATATTGGAAATGTAATATTTATGGGTTATCATTAAATCAACATTTATTAAGGTCTTCTAGTTTCCAGTATTTTTTGTTGACTGCAAGAAAGGGTCACTGAAAAATCCCATAAAAAAACGTGAGTGTTATGAGAGAAATGATGTGTTTTAGGTAGTGCCTATAATTCATATTTAATATCGATATTTCTTTTACATTTATGATGCAATTTTTCTATCGAATTTTATAGACTTAAAAGGTTTTCGGGTGAACGTTAATTGAATTCAATGTCTATAGTGAGGAAATTGCAACTGTTTTTACTTTTTAATCACTAATAATCAGTTAATGCTCGAGATGTTGCCAATTAACCGTTTCACACGATGAAGGCCTTACTTACATTGCCGATTAGATAGCTAATGCTATTAAAATATCCATAGCGATCGGTAAAGATCATAAATCTCCGTTTATGGGTATTTAATATGGAAACCGGATCGAGGGTGGTTTTCGATTTTATTTATTATAAAATCTGGAACTTTATTAGTGTTTCTTTCATCTTTTTTGAATTTCAAAGACTTTCATAATCGAAAACTAAAATTAATGTGTTTTACGATACTGTTTTATAACACGTCTTCCAAAGCTCTAAGTTAATTAAATTGCATATTCTTAATTAAATTAAAAACACGATTATTAAACTCTCAGGGTAATTATCGAAAATTCTTTTGTACTATATGAGTATTGCGTATTAAAATATGGATAAAAGTATAATAAACTTTGCTTATATTGAATATTATTTACTAAAAGTATTGTAATAATTGTTTGTTATTTCCACATCATTTGTAAAATATTGTTGTTTGTTTGCATTATTCACTTTTTGTATAAAGATTTTATGAATTCATTATCGCCTCAATTTTATCATACAGCAAAGCTGCTTAATTGTGTTTGCGACTAAACTTGTGTTTAAAACTAATACAATATTCTTCCTTGTTTCTTTCATTTGTGTGTGTGTGTGTATTTACTAAGCCATTACTCATTATTTCATGTTACCATACATCTACATGTAAAGGGTGCTTATTTTGTTACGAATTGTAAAAAAAAAAACGTTGTCCCTCATCTAACCGCATGCGTTTGGAGTTAAATTGGCGGTTTATTTTTAAAAGAAACTATCTATTTCAGATGTAATTTGCAATCAAACTGTACCGTTCAGGTTAACAACATATTCTTTGAGGGAGACCCGTGTCCAAACACAATCAAATATGTCGAAGCTCAGTACTACTGCGGTTAGTTGCTTCTAAAATTATTTTTCATGTATTTTTTACAACTTACTGATATAAAATAATGCCGTAAACTTCTTAATTTGTCAAATGCGTGTAAGACAAAAAATGCCCTGTATACTTAACTAACTAGCGTAACTCAATACGTAAAAGATAAAGAGTAATATACAGCACACATGGACAGAAAGAAATAAGGAAGTTGTCGTAAGTAAGGGTATGTAAATTAAACAAAAAAAAATATTATCATAGGTGTAGCCAAGTTCAGAACTGCAGCATCCTGGCAAGCACCAATATGTTTGGTGACCCTTGCCCCGGAACACTCAAATATCTCGAAGCGCATTTTCAGTGTATGCCCGGTAAGTAGAATGTAATTAATTTCTAAAATTTATTAGCCAGTTCTTTATTATAATACAGCGAATTATCTACGCATATTATTGATAGGATGATTGCTAGTGACGAACTTCCTTAATTCTTGATTTTTTTTATGAAGTTAAGATAATTTTAAAAGGAAAGGATTTTGTTATTTAATTAATCTGATCTAATTGAATCGTTTTTTCTTTTATTAACCGCTATAGCTTCCACAACAACAACTACAAATAGGCCCAGTCCGCCTTGGTTAATAACTTCTCAACCTCCTGTATGGAGTACAGTAAAACCAACGGCCAGGCCTCCACCGCCTCCTCCAAAAGTTTCAGTAACAAACCCTCCCAAGTCCCATACGACTCTCAGTACTACCGTAGAAGTAAATTCTTCATCTTTAAGTCAAGCTCCGGACATAATTAACGAAGAGAATTCGTCAACCAAATCGAAAACAGTTCATCCTCCAGAACAACAATCTGAAGGTGTTACTGTTAGTTTTACAACCCTTAGTCCTAAGTCAAGTAGTAGTAAGTATTTTACAAGTCGAATTTATATTGTTAAAAAGCTAATTTACGATTACTTTTAGTTGTAAATAACATTCCAAACGAGTATATGCCATCTCCAAGTGTATTTACCCCTAATCTTAAAGAAATAGATCGGTATAATTATTGTAGTCCTGTAACGTTAAGGAGTATATTTTGGAATTGGACAAGGATTGGAGACGTTAGTATTCAACCTTGTCCTGGAGGAACCACTGGGTTTGCTAGGTGGAGATGTAAAATAATTGGTTCGGAACCCACGTGGTTACCTCTCACGCCGGATCTGAGTGAATGCAGATCAGTCTGGTTGACTAGTCTAGAACAAAGAGTCCTTGCTGGGAGAGATCCTTTGACATCTATTACAAGCGATTTAGCTCAAGTAACTAGTAGTAAGACACTCTACGGTGGCGATATGATGATTACCACGAAAATTATCCAGAATATGGCACAAAAGATGTCTGTAGACATCCAGACATTTCCAGATCACAGGCAACGAGAAGCAATTGTCACTGAAATGTTAAGTGACGTTGTTAGAACAGGTAGTAATCTCCTCGATTCTACACAGCATCCTTCGTGGAGAGATCTCAGTTATCAAGAGCAAATGCGTGTCGCCACATCTTTACTTATTGGCCTAGAAGAAAACGCTTTTCTTCTAGCCGATACTGTTATTAGGGAAAAAACCGTTGATCAAGTTGCCAAAAATATAAGTGAGTATTGTAAATATTAGGTGACATAAGCTATCTTTTCTAACTTGCTTACTTTTTTCCAGTGTTGTCTGTAAGAGTCCTCGAAACAAAAAACATCAGAAGCGAAAAATTTCCTTCCGATAATAGATGGGCAGCTAGTAACGATACAATAGAAATTCCGCAAGGAGCATTATTAGAAAATAGTGAAGGTGGTTTTGTTCGATTGGTCTTTGTTGCCTTCGACAGGCTTGAAGAAATCCTTCAGTGGTTACCTGATCACGGAGAATCTAATTCAAATAAAAATCAAACCAAAATCTTGAATAGTAAAATAATATCGGCAAGTCTGGGAAAAGGAAGACACATTCAACTTCACTACTTGGTTCGCTTGACACTCATGCACATCCAAGTGCATAACGTCACCGATCCAGTCTGTGTTTTCTGGGATTACACAACAAGTACTTGGTCTGAAGAAGGATGTCACATAGAATCCACAAACTTTACCCATACCATCTGCCTTTGTGACCATTTGACAAACTTCGCTATTTTGGCCAATGTGCAGCCCACTTACTATCCAGTTGGTCAGCAAATGGCCCTTCAAATTATCACTTACATCGGCTGTATAATAGCAATAATTTGCTTAGCTATTACTTTACTCACTTTTCATTTATTTCGGGGAATTAAAGTAAGAGCCTAAAGAGAGATTTTTTTGATGTACTATTAACTAAATGGTTTTTAGAGTGACCGCACGACTATATACTTTAATATTTGCGTCTGTCTGCTTGTCGTAGAGCTGCTGTTTGTGATAGGAGTAGGGCAAACTGATAGTGAACTTGCCTGTCGCATTATAGCAGCTTTTCTACATTATTTCATTCTTTGTACGTTTATTTGGATGTTTTTTGAAGGTGAGTTACAATTCCTATACAGAGTTGAATAGGTAGTGCACACATTTACGTATTCATTCTTTTACAGGGTTCCACTTGTATATAATGTTGATAGAAGTATTTGAATCTCAGAAGTCCAGATTATGTTTGTACTATTTGATAGCTTACATACTTTCGCTGTTAATTGTTAGTATTACTGGAGCAATATTTCCAAATGGATATGGAACAAGCAATTATTGCTGGTTACGAATGGATGGTTATTTTATTTACACGTTTGCTGGACCAATAATAATTATAGTTGTGGTAAAATTTGCTGTATTCTTCGTTTTTAAGTTTTTGTGTTAAAACTGATTTTTTTTTTCAGCTGAATCTGATCTTTTTAAGCATGGCAATAATTATGATGTGTCAGCATGCTAGTGCCTCCGTGTCCATGAAAAATAAAGAACATTCTAAGTTAAGGAGTATACGGTGTGTGGATAAGAGTATATCTAATTGAACGAATCTGATTAGTAAAAGTTAATTTTTACAGATCGTGGCTACAAGGCGTCGTAATATTGGTTTTCCTCGTGTCTTTGACTTGGGTATTTGGCTTCTTATACTTAAACAGAGATTCCATTATAATTACGTATTTATTTGCCAGTTTAAATTCATTACAAGGCATCTTTATATTATTGTTTCACTGTATTCAAAATGAAAAGGTGAGTTGAATTAATTTTTATAAATTTATACTCCACTTTGCGTCTTTTTATGTTGCATTACAATTGTTTTGTTTTTATGTCAGCTTTTTTGTCTGTCCTGTTTTTGGCTTGCTTTATTTATTTGTCTCTCTAGTTCAATATAAGCCACGTTTTTTTTATTTTTCTCCTTAAAACCAAAAGTAATGGATATTTATATTTGTGTGCTAAAAATAAGGTCAAGTAACGTTTCAAATTGTTATTGAAGCAGACATTGATGTTAAAAAAGAGATAATTAAGTCAGGCTTATTAATTGATAGAGAGTGGTGTTTAAGTGGAATGTTATGTGTCAGGCAAGCTATATTAATGTTCTGTAGGTTCGAAAGGAGTACCGCAAGTTGATTCGGCGGCACTCATGGCTGCCAAAGTGCTTGCGTTGCTCTAAGCCTAGCGGTGGGTCAGGGGGTGGCAGCGAGAACAGCCCTTCAGTGGGCAAAGATCATCGTCCTGGCGTATATGTCGGTTCCAATGGCAATCCCGTTTCTAATTCACATTCCATGGACAACTCCGTCCTATCACCACATGGATCAAGTGTGGGTACCAACAATATAGTCATCTCGAATAATCTTAATAATGCACGTTCCACTGCCATGGTTCAGGTTCTACCTAGAACTGACTTGAACAATGCTAGTACCACCACCAGCAATCATAATCGGCTACATAACGTTTCACAAGGTACAGCAATTCTGTTTGTTGCGCAGCTCTCGAGTTCTCAATTTCTTTAACTATTATTTTTATGATATTATACTATCGCCCCTACATCTTATCTTTACGCTTGTGCTCTAGGTTTATTGTTTCTTCTCTGTATTAACGGTTCTAATTCGTACAAATAGTACCTATACCTACTAGTTCTTAAATCCATCTGATTACACAGATTAACGTGGATCAGGATGCTATGCCTGCCTGTCACAGTACGTCTGAATTTCGAATATCCTAATTCAAGTTATAAATGAAAAACAATTTTTGGGCCTTTTGTGATCGTTACAACCTGGTAAAAAATGACAAAATCTTCGACTTATCTTTTATCGCTGAATTAGAATCTCGCTTTAGGGTCTTCCCCAGCACAATTAAGGTATTACTATATCTTAACGCAAAAGTTCGAATGATGCTGATCTCGCATGAAAATGGATTTTAAAATTAAAATATTGCAAAATCTTCTTTATGTGCTGTAGCAATTATGAGCTAGACATTTATTTAGCGACAAAAGATGCCTCGAAAATAGTTACTGTTACGGTTGTTTTCCACTTTTATTTATTTTACGTAGTAATCATTTTAAAACCCCAAAAAATTAATTTTTCAGCTTTGAAATTAGGATATCTAAAAATCTTGACGTGCTCTGCGGCAAGTTTGCGGCTGCCCTTTTGTTCATTTTCAGTGTTTAATTTTGTTGACCTGTGTTATCTCTTAAGCAAAATTATTTTGCTGATTTTAAACCAAAAGTTAATTAGTTAATTTTTTTTATTCTTGTTGCTAATCTCATAAAGTTTTTTAGCATTTAAACTTATAAAAGATACGCAAAAGAAGAATAAGGAAATTTAAAAAGTCTTATTTCGCATTTAATAACATCTTTTTGTATATTACAATTTGATTTTCTCAAATGATGATTTTGAACTAGTTAGCAGGTAATAAATTAAGAAAATTTCTAGAAATTATAAATCAGTTGCGAGCTGCTTACTACTAACTTTAAATTAGTGCTGTGGTGGTGCTACATTTGGTACCCTGCCTGATAGGCCTGCCGAAAAATAACATAACATAACGTAACAGTAATAGCTTTTGCTTTTTAACTAACAAAAAAGGTGAAGGTGCATCTGTCTATCTGTTACAGCTTTCTCGCGGTTGGAATTCTCGAAGTTGCAACAATATGAATCGAGTGGGCAAATTTCCCGCTCTAGCTTCTACTTCGGCCAATGTGGCCGCTGCACTTTGCCCTTCGTCGAGAGCTGGAGCAACCACTCCTCCCCCTATATTTGAACCTCCTAACACGTCTACTCTTCCATATATCCGTAACTTTTACAAATGTTCCACTCAAAATCCTAATCTACCGAAATCCACTTCCACCTGGGGCCCTCTTAATAAACATTTGCAATGGAAGGTGCGTAAATATCAAATTTTATTTAGTCACAGTCTATTTTATAGGATTTCAGCCTTATTTATCAGTAGGTGTTTCTTTAACCTCTTACTTGCTCTATTTTTCTTTTATTCATAACACGATGCAAAATTTTACTACTATACTACTAAATATATTTATGGTGCCATTATTTATCTAAAGCGATATATTATAGTCGTAAATCAAAAAGATAAGAAAAAATTCCTATTTATTCATTCAACGTTACAATTTGCATTTGCGTACGTAATGTAATTGGCTGTAGTATTGTGATTTTAAAAAATGTTTTTTTCTTTCCATCAGTAAATTTTTATAAAATATTTAAAATGCGCTAATCACCCCCTATACACTGCCGCACGTGTATATATCATAAATTCTAAATATAATCAATTGGGTTACTTTTTTGTAAAAAGCTATATATACCTACTACAATAACTAACAAATCGCATGTATAGTTTCGTCACGTTTGTAGCGGGTCAGTATTTCTTTACTGATATTACTTTAGTGCTTAGTGCTTGCTTGCTGCTGTAATATGTTTTGCATTATTGGTTAAATATTGGAAATATTGGAAAAGGTGAAAAGTGAATTTAAATAGGGACATTTCTTTTTGGCAGAGCATTTCTTTTAAGTCCTGTAGTCGAGATTCAGGTCATGGCGGATCCGAACAAGAAAATTCACCCAGATCTCATACAGCAGTGGCAGACATACGTCTTAATAACACCAAAGAAGTATGCCGTCAGACATTTATTCCAAACGATTTCGAACATGGTATTAGCAACAATTCACAAAATGAAGAACTAGTTAAATTGTCGCAGCATGGAGAACGGGTTACTCTACCAAAGCAAAATCAGATACCAAACACCTTACAGCCGGTGGGCTTACGAAAAAAAAATGGTACTTTTCTCAGGGCAACTAGTCCTTGGAATCATACTTATACAGAAATACATGATTGCAGACTACAGAGAGGAGGCTTAATGCCCGAAGATGATCCTGTTTATGAGGAGATTGAAAAGAATGAGATGCAAGTATCTGATATGAGCGATGAAGATGGAAAACGTCAAAGCGATATGAGTCGCCAATCTTCACGATCTTATGGTGATCACCGTCCTTTAATTCCTTATAGCCCTGCTAATGATCGAAGTATCCATTCCTGTTTTCAAGAAGAAATGTCTAAACATCGTTCAAAGGATCACACTCGTTATGCCACTGACGTTGATCATTACAGAACGAGAGGTCATAGTTTACACAAAGGAGATACGGTACGTTCTCTTGCTGCTGTCCTCGATGGAGAGACTGTTGTTTGCCACTTGGAACCGCCTGAATCTTATCAATACGATCCGTTTGTGTCCAGAACTCTAGTTTTGCCTCAGTATAGCGAGAGTTAGAAAACTGCCATTTTCAAGTGTATATCTGTGATTACGACATGATCATTTACTGCGATCATACTAGTTAAGAACATTAGTATTAGTTTATGTCAGTGAATGCAAGTGATAATTTTTGTAATAGTGAATTATTTTAATGTTGTAAATGTTTTCGTGAACATAAAGTCATTCGTTTATTGGCCCATTGAATGGTCCGATATTATCTGATCTTTGGCAGTTACTTTTATATTTATTTATAAAGCTACATTATTTATGTGGTGTTTGACTGATAAACAATATTTTTTTTGCAAGTTAATTATTCTTATTATTCCGACAACAGCTGTAAATAATGTATAGGGTTTTGTACATGTTAATTACTTAATTATTTAGTCCTTCAATTCATTGTTGTTGCTATGCAAATTTCACATAGCAAATTTCAACAATACTTGATAATTGATCACATAAGTCTGACCAATAAAATAATGATTTACTTGCGCATTTTTCTTTGCAAAATAAGTCCTTTATGACTATTCACGTTTCAATGTATATATAAATATATATCCATAATTATATATATNAACATTTGATAAAAAAGGCAAGATGACAAGTGTTCAACATTTTTTAAATGAAATACACAAAAAGGAGGCTGTAAATGATGTAGTCGTTTCTAACGTTTATCTACATTAAATAAATAAACTTATTTATAATATAAAAAAATCGCTTGCAAAATACCAATGACGAAAACAATACAAAAAATCTCAACATAATAACGGGGGCCTATATCTTTTTTTAATACTACATTCAACTTTTGTTGAAGTTGATTTATCTTCTCGCCGTGCTCCTGTAAGCTTTGTTCTAAGTCATGAATTGCTAGCATTATACTGAAAATACAATAGAGGGAATATTGCAAGTAGAGGTTATTTCCATTTAATGAATATTTACCTAGAATTAGTAGCTGGTAAAGATGGTGCTTTTTTTACTGAATGTGTAGAATCCGAATGAAATTCTTCAGATGTTGTAGCACTGTCATTAACATCTGCGTCTGATGATATTTGTTTGGTTGTTAACTTCCTTTTTGCAACCTTAACACCGGATGAGCGCCCTTCGCTCTGTTCAAAATTAATTAAAATTTTGCTATAATTAGGTTAATATATGATAGCAACTGGTTTACCTGTTTCATTTGTGGATCAACACTAACTATACTTGCAGTACGTATCATGGGTGCTGGATGTTTTGTTTTAGTACAAATTATGTAATTAAATTCGTACTGGTAGAGATCATTTCGTGGATCCCACGGTCTTAGATCCAAATGTTTGTAACACCACTGGCCTGTCTGAAAATCTTGTTGAAAGTGTGATGGGAACCACTCTTCACATTTAGCTTTACGTTCTTTGGATTGTGCTATAATATATAT